AAGGAGTCATCGTTGGGCGCGCTCGACGCCATGTCGGCGGTGCTGGCCGTGCTGGCCCACGTGTCCAAGCCGCCATTGCAGGTGTGTTGCGCGGTCGTTTTCCGTACAGGTCACTCCATCACGAATAGCAGTTGTTGGAGAATAATGCTGGTAGATCTGCCGATGGTTCTGTTGTTGCAGCGGTGCGCTTGCGCGTTTGTGTATCTCAACAAGCTATGGATGGTTGCATTGTGTTACTATGGAGTATTTTGTTGAGCCTGCGTCGGCTACGCTAGCCGACTGACTAATGGCAAGACGTAGTCGGTGTCAAAGTGTTTGGTGATTTGCACTCAACTACTATATCCTGCCGCTCACCGGCGCGTCCCATCAGACCTCCTACGTGCAGCGTTTGCCTTTTGGGGTAGGTTCCGTGTATGTATCTGCTATCCGCTCAAAGTTTTGAGTGCGGCGTGGAGATGGGAGTACGGTGTCGGCTGTTTCGATGTGGTAGACCGTGCCTTGTGTGAAGCCGTGCTGTGGGGTGTGGAGTTGTGTTGACCCTACAGATGGCCAAGAGGACGATGTGGTGTTCTCAGGTACTGAAGACCAGTCCAAGGAGTCGAAGCTGATAGCGCCGTTTGGTACGAGGTGATGGTGCAAGTGGCGAGTTGTTGAAACGGTTGAGAAGCGCGGCGCCAGTCTTATCAGCAGCTTTTCCTCTAGTGGAGACACCCGTTGTGCGTTGATCAGGGACCTTGTCTACGTCCAGCCCATCCCTCCTTCCTTGCTGTCCGAAAACCTTTCGAGAAGACTTCTTTCGATTACTCTACCGTGATCCCCACCCACCCAAACCGACTGCTACATTTATTTTCTTCCCCGTTTCCTGTTTCTCCAAGTACCTTCGGGTCGTTTTCCCTGTCTTACCCTGTCCTCGCTTTCGTACTACTACCACATTCGTTCTTGGCATCTCGACAAACGCCTTCTAGGGGGTGCTAGACCGCACTCCAGGCACAGAAGTTGCCCGCGGTTGGCGCGATCTTGCTGAACGAGCCCTGGTTGCGTTCGGCGGCAATCCTTTGCCTCAAGGCGCGGGGGTCGGCGGAGGGGGCGACGGCGGGTGGTGGGGGGGCGTGCAGCCGCTGACGCATGGAGAGCGATCCATGGCAAACGTGAGTGTGAGTGTGTGTGTGTGTGTTTGTGCTCCTTTTTACCGCTTGTAAGCTGGTCTAGTCTGGTCTAGTCTAGTCTGTTGTTGCGACACGACTGCTGGGAGAAGTACAGAACGCAACCGGCAGTCTGGGTCGTTTAGCCGTCGAAAACGTTTCGTGTGGGGTTTGTACCTTGAACGTGGCGTGTCGACGACATCGACCATAGGATGTCGTTCGAGGTCCGAGACCGAGCACAGACCCTTGCCTTGCCTGGAACGCGATGTTGACGACGGCCTATGCTTCAAAGCCTGACCTGTGCCCCCCCCCGCTGTGTGCCCATTTTCCGCCATCATTTCCGCACACCCTGCATATTAATACCTATCCAATCCCCTACGCGCCGAACCAATCCAAATTTGTCCCATTCATTTGTGTTTTCGTGTGGTGTGTGTGTGTGTGTGTGTGTGTTTTCTCAGGAGCGTTGCCGAGCCCCTCCCGGGGGCCCGTCGGAGTGGAACGCTTTCGACACCGCCAAGCTCGAGGCCAGCCAGAGGGCTCTCGCCCACGCGGTAGACGTGCTCAGGTGCCAGGCCGCCGCCGCAGCAGCAGCGGCAGCAACGGCAGCGGCCGGCGGTACTCCCCCGGGCCCGCCGGCGGCGGTGGCGGTGTCCCGGCTCGCCGTTAGCCCCGAGGGGCTGTGCGTGGCGTTGAGAGCGTGCGTAGAGAACGGGGGTGGCGGCGGTGGGGTCGGGGGCGCCGCAGGCGGAGGGGGGCGAACACTGGGCCTTGGGGTGGGGGGGGGTCATCGGGCTGACGCGTTGGGGGCGGGGGCTTCGAACGGGTGAGCCAAGCAAGACAATCGCGAGTTTTGTTTGTCCAGCGTCGCGGTGGTTTCATTCTAGTCGTTGTTGCTGCCGGCATCGGGTGTTTCGTGGTGTGCATGTACTGTGTTACGAAGGTGATAAGTCCGTTCGGTTCGGACTCCAGCCGTCTTTCTGGGCTTGTGAACGGTCAACTGGATGCGTTTCTACATAGGTCCGTGCTACGATGATGGCATTGCGTGTGTGCTTGCCGCCGCCGCCGCCGCCGCCGCCGCCGCCGCCGCTGCTACTGCTCCCCAGCAACTGCAAAAAGCGGCAGCTGGTTGGCGGTTCTCTCTCCGATTGAGCCTGTTTTCGTGCCCTCAGATCCCGATCCAGTGAAGGGTTGTCGTGCCCTCAGATACCGGCGGCGACCACAGCACCACATCGCGTACGGTTGTTGTTCTCGCCCTCCCACGCCACGCCACGCCGCGCCACGCCACACGTTAACAAGGTGAAAACGTCCGTCCCTTCCCTCTGGCTTCGTCGTGGTGTCGATTACGTTATTACAACCAACACCACCAACGTTGGCGTTTTTGGTCGATCTCCCAGTGCGGCGGGCGGTAGCGGGAACGCGCGTCTCTTGAGGGGCCTGCCGTATGTAGTGGAAGGTCTGCTGGCGGCGCTGCTGGTGCTCGTGGACGCCGGTTCCGAAGAGGGGAGAAGCCAGCTGGCGGCCTACCGGGTGAGTCATGACTCATGAGTCATACCAGGAACGTGAAAGAAGCATAAGAGCGAGAGAGACAGAGAGATGTAGCCTGCATACTTCTTAGCCATGTAATCTACGTGTGATAGGCTTCTTGTTTTGATTTCTGAGCAGTTCTCATAGTGCAACCGAGTTGGATTGTCTCTCTGTTATCCGAGTTTGTTTGGTTTTTTGCTCCGCATGTGTGCGTGTGTTGCTTGTTTTGGTTCGTGCCCTCACTCTTGTTGCCTCTGTTTTTGGCATGGACCCCGCTGACCGGCTGAGCAACGAAGATGTAGGTTTGTGTCAGCATCAGCGTGATGGTAGCTCTTGATATGTGTGTTTTGGGGGGAAATGGGGGTGTTCCAGTAGAGCTGGGGGCAAGGGAGAGGCGGTGCATCGATGTGTCTGCAATAGCAACGCTACCGCTGGGTGCCACGCCCGCATGTTTTGTGCAGTTTTTCGACGTGGACCTCTGGTTTGTTTTGCAGATCGTAAATGGCACGGTGGTGCTTTTGCGATCGTCACAGACCCCTTGACAAGGCCTGATATTTTGGGGCGTGGAAGAGAACTGGAAGGAGCATGTTGTCATGGGTGCCACCGCCCTTCTCCGTATATGCACACGACCTTGCAATCTATGACACCTCCCCCCTCCTGAATCTTCTGTGTTGTTTTCTGTCCAACTCTCTGATCCGCTTCTCTCGTTCCCTCCCTTTCGCTGTTGTCCCTGAAAAAAAAAACTGAAAAAAACCTGACCACCCCCAAAAACTGGTCGGACCCGGCGCGATCGACGCGAACCAACGAACGTTGGTCGACAACCGAGCAGAAAGGGCTCGTGCCGACTCTCACGGAGCTGCTGCAGGACACCTCCAGGGACCCCTTCGTGCTGCGGGCGGCGCGGACGCTGATTGGTCGGGTGTCCGCGCGGGAAAGCTTGGTCACATCTGGCTCGATGGACGTGGCTTGATAACAGCAACAAACAGCGCTACGATACCACGGTTCCACGGCAGTTTTTAAAAAGACACACGCGCTTGATATTCTCACGAGGCAACCGAACACGGCAGGCGCGATCGCGAGGAGATTTCTAGGTGTAGACCTTGGTTCGGTTGGGGTCACCGATGGAAGTTTTGTTTTCGGGGGAGGCGGAGAATTTTTCGAAGAGCGAGCGGCATGTCATCCCCCAAGTCTCGCAGCGGATTACTTTAGCGAAACGGCGACTTTTTCTCTCGTGTGTTTGTGGGGGTGGACTGCGCTTTAGAGCGGTCGTTGTTCGGCATGGCGTTGACGTTTTTTCTTTGTTTTTGTCGTTTTTATTGTCTCGTTGTCTGGTGACTCGCATGACACCTGTGTGGGGTGGGTACACGTACTTGCTTAGCGTTTGTTCCAGCGTTCCCAGGTGCGGGTGGGCTTGTTTTCTGTCTCTGCAAGAGAACGGGTGTCGGAACTCGGCCCCGTGAAAGTAATCTGGTTGTTTTCACGATTGTGTTGGGACTCTTCTACGAAAAAACAAGACAAGCGCGACAGCGTCAATGCAGAGAAGGGGTAGAATCTGACGCAACTTAGAGCAAGGTGGGCAGGGCTGTGGCAGGGCGTAATTGTAGGTTAGGGTAGTACCCCCCCCACCCCCCACTATCTACGCTCACTCTCGTACTAGACTATACCTTTTTTTGACGTGCCTTATTTCTGGGATGGCTCGCTCCTGAAACTAATGTAGCTGTGTTCCTCTTGAACCCTGGGGTTGGATTGATTACTGTAACTGGAGGTGTGGGTTTGTACGGGCGACAGAAGTAGGTGTGGCTTTTTGTTTGCCTCTGCTTGGTTGAGTTGATTGCGACTGAGACGGCTCGTGACGCCGCCGCGTTGTATCTGTTGGCAGGAAAGCTCCAGGCGCGTTTTGTTCACCAAGATTAATATTTTCGAGGACGGCTGACTGCGTTGAGAGATGGACAGCGCCTGCTGCATTCTCTTTTGGGACCCGACCGTCCCATGAACCGAGACAGAGGAGATGCAGCGAACGTCACCGTATCTAGCGCGGTTTACAAGAAACGCGAAAACCATGGCATGAGATGCATGCGAGGACGAAAGAACCCTCCGCCCAAATCGATACCGACGCTGACGCAACATCGCTTGTTGCGAGTATAGGCCGTGTCCGCGCAAGAGGGCATTTTATATATGTTGAACCCGCTGCACACACACGCGTCGCTGCCTCCAATATCGAGTCAATTGTATCTCCCCGCACGAGTTGGCCAGTGGTGAGACAGGTGCAAACACAGATGCACAAGAACGCTCAACAAGTCGTCTCTTTTGAAGAGATGCAGCCAGCGTCGGTGGTAGACCCAGGCGCCCTCAGCGTAGTAGGTTGGGATGGCAAGAACACATGGATTGGTAGCGAACGTGTAAGCGGCTAAGAAGACGGCAGTCAGTCATGCATCCCCCTCCTCGTTCACGCGTGTGCTGGCTAGCCCTGCCTCCCTCTTCTGTTGCTTTGTCGACATGAAAAAAACGATTCTAAGGACCTCCGCGCAGCAACCCACTGCTCCTTACGCTTGTGCTCCCAGAGGCATCTAGTCTATGTAGGCACGCATACACACAAGCAAGCATGCAAACAGACAGACGGAATGAGCACTGAGGTAAGTATCTTGTCCAGTGGCTCATGATGGGATCGCTGGCTGTCGGACGGCAGAAAGGCGAAAGCCAGCCATTCGGCCCCTGTCGCCTACGCGTGTGCTGGCTGGCCTCCTCCCCTCTGCTACTCAGTGAAACGATTCTCGTGACCCCCTCGCAGCACCTCCGGCTCCTTACTGTTCAAGGTCCACGGGGCATCCATGTACTGTAGTAGTCTAGGCATACACACAAGCAAGCATGCAGACTGACAGATAGACGGAGACACGAGCAGGGCGCAAAACTCCTGGCGCTACCGCGACGAAACCTCCGACTGCTGGGTCGAGACGCGAACGACCTCATGAGGCGAAGAAGGAGCAGGCCAGCCAGACTGATTGAAGGACGACCGTCCTTGCGGTACATACAAGCAGTGGCGGCATACCGCTCCAGGGCTGGTCCTGCCACTGATCGGAGGACGACCAAAGTGCGGTACATAAGCAGTATACCACCACTTTAGTCTGCTCCTGCCAATGATGGGAGGGTTACGACCAAACGTGCCTTAGGCCTGCTCCTGCCCCAGACGGTGCCCTGCAACGCTTCCCCCGAGACGCATCTCGGCCTCCCGCCTGGACTTCCGGTCGGGGTCTTCGAAGTCCCCGGTACCGACGCCGACGCCGACACCGCCGCCGTCTACCTCCATCGAGAGCGGAGAAGGGGGGGTCCCGTGCCCCCCGCCCCCCGGGGTGAGGATGGTGAGGCGGTCGCCCGCGTTGACCTTGACGGTGTTCTTGCCGCCCAGGCTGACCGAACGCCCGCTGTTGCCTCCGCCACCGCCGCGGAAACGCAGGAAGTTGAGCTGATGTTGTTGCGCGTTATTGATGGGGGGAGAGCAGCGCGGGGCGGGAGAAGGGCACGCGCGTAGAGGAAGGCAGGCGGTGGTGGTAAGATGAGAGGGGGTGTAGAGATTGTGGTCCGAGGCCAAGGTGGATGAGAGGCTTGCCGTTGTACACTGGCGTGCAATGTTTGTGTATTTTTCACACAGCCAGGCTTAGTGAGCGATGACGGCAGCACCATCGCATAAACCAAGTGTTTTGAGTTGGAGAAAAGTCGTACTCAAGAGGGGGAATGGAAGCGAAAAGAAAGACGGGAAAGGCTAACGCGAACACGCAAGGTAGGTGACGGACAAAAGTGACGGGCGTGTGTGTGCGGGTGGAGAAGGAAGCACCCTCCTCACAGTTGGTTCTTGAGTGAAACACCACGTTGCACGTGGCAGCTACTCCAGACAGCTTCACCCACCACCAAAATGGCCACACTACCAAAGCAACCCTGACTCGGACAAAAGCTAGGCCAACCTGCCACGCAAGCCTTGCCAAACACTTATCACAAGCAACCGTCTCCAAGAAGCATGCTCTGTGCTAAGCTATCTAATGGACTCACTCCCCGCTCCGCCGGCTGCCCTCCCGCCAACCCCCACGGACGGAAGGAGCGCCTCTCTGACAACACGCTGACGGTGAGCGGCTTCCGGAAGGTCATCGAGCGGGAGACGCCATCGCCGCCGGGCCTGGCGCCGCCGCCGCCGGAGCCTCGCCGCAGGCCGAAAGAGTTGAGGATTACCGGGTACCTGGTTGTTCGAAAAAAGTGGGATGAATGAACCGGGGGTTAAGCGCTATGTTCTTGTCGAACTCCAGATGTGTTTGCGCACATGCGCTACCGAGGAGTAGATTGCCGCAGAGCTAAACAAGTGTCTTGGAGGGAGGGAGGGAGGGAGGGTATACATAGCCACGCTGATTAGAGACCAGGTGGCCATAGGACGAACGTGTACGGATTTTCGCTCAAACGTAAGCGCGGAGGAGCTCTAAAACTTGGCACACACACCCCAGCCGCCGCCCGCACGTGCATGCAGGGCTCGACAACAAAAACCCATCCGCATACATGCTGCTAGTTGCGTTGCTGTGTGCAACGTTCCGTCTCACGTGTAAACCAACACCACACTTGACTCGGGGCACGAACACGTGTCACTCGATACAGACAGGTGTGAAACATGTGTAGATCTGTACAAAGCTACAGCAAGAGCCTACCTCCGTTCCAGTATCTCTGGGTCGGTGATGCGAGTGTTGGTCATGTGGGTGTGCACGCCACTGCACCCGGACCAGGTTGGGCCTGCCCCCGCCCCGCCGGCAATGGTCTCGTAGTACCTGACGTGCCATACGCCAAATCAAAAGGGGGAATGGGGTGCTGGTAATAAAAATGAAACTGCGGGGGGCAACGTATTCAGACCAGACACGCATACGGGGTCCGGAAACGACCAAAGCTCAGGAGAGAGAAAAAAGACAAGACCAAAACCAAAAAATGAGCGTCAGTACACCAGCAACAGCACCCGACACCCGGAAAAAAAACTGGCCCAGACCTTCTCCTCCACGCCATACTCAACCCCTCCCCCCGCTCTAGGAGAACCGCCTTAATACCGTTAGGGTGCGAGAGAACGCACGGGGGTGCGATCGATTTTAACTGATTTTGTTTCTGAGATTTTAGCGCCCCTCATCCCGTGGCCTCGTTCCCGAAGGTGAGGTTTACGTGCGGTATTACCAAACCGTGAATTCTCTTGCACCCCTAGGAAGCTCCAGCTTTGCAGCGCTTCGCTGCTCACCCCATGGCCTCGTCCCCGAACGTGAGGTTGTTCATGCACCCCTGGCTCGCCGCGCACGCCCGGAAACACTTGAGGATCACGTCGGTGACGCGCTGGGAGGTGAGCACGTTGCCGCCCACCACCGCCGCCGTCGGAGAAGGGTTCAGGAGACACCCCTCCGGGATGCGGATCTCGACGGGGGCAAGGCACCCCTGTGCGTCGTGTAGGGAAAAAAAAGGGAAAAACAAGCAAGCACGGAGAGGAGGGACGGGCGGACGCGAAAAGCCGACTGCTGCTGTTGGTGGTGTGGGGGGATGGTGAGGAAATTTATGGGTGGGGTGCCGGCTACGCCCGTCCCCACCGTCGCCGCCGCCGCTAGAGGGAGTTATTCACGCGGCGAAGAATATCGTTTCTTGACCCACAAGATGCATAAAAAAAGCCATGGAGACGACGTTGTCAGCCTTGCTTGGTCGTCTCTCCCCGACCGAAGAAGACACAGGGAAGGAAAAGTGACCGAGGCACCGCACGAAGCTCTCACTTGTTCCAACGAAAAAATACACCAAACCAGAAACAAGTACATACGGTAAACGAAAAATATGCCCGTACAAAACGGTGCGTGTTCTGTCGTCTTCCTTGAGTGCCCTGTCGCTAACCTGGTTGAGGGGGACGTCGGCGGCATCCCCGGGGAGCAGGCAGCGGAGGGCGTAGATCACGGCAGATGCCGTCACGGCGGGCGGGGCGTTGAGGTTGCCGAGGACCTCCGCGCCCTGTTGAGGGGGCCGAGACGCGACGCGAAGTGAGAGAAGGACCGGCAGCAGCAGCCACGGGGTGAACGGGGGGAGAGAGAGGCAAAGAGACAGAGACAAAGTCAGAGACAGAGGCAGAGAAGGGAAGATACGCAGGAATTGTCTGAGAAGCGCCTAATGGCAAACGCGAAAGCAGAAACATATAGCATACTAGTACGGAGGTCCAACGCGAGAACGAAACGATCAGTGGTAGACCAAAACAATAACAGCCAACACTGCAAAGCAAATCTTAATCCCGCCCCCCTTGAAGCTGGTGGTGCTTGTGTATCTAGATAGATTTTCTCACCGTCCCCTCGAAGTCGAAGAGAGCGGAGCGTGTGGTGCGGTCGATCGTGACCGCGAGGCGTATGGGCGTGCCGTCGTCCATAAAGTCCTCGGCATTCACCGTTCCCACCTATCGTGTGCGGTTGGACAACGATGTCACTCGTGTTCGAAACGTCGTAGTCCACATGGAACAGGTTGTTGTCCGTGTGCTGTCTTGGCTGCTGGCAGGGAGAGATGTTGATTGCAGTGGCGTGCTACAAGGGTGTCATGGAATGCAGACTGGCTTCGCGTTGCCATCTGCATTGAGACAGGAAGCCCTCGAACGAGCAACACTGAAGACTGCTGCCTCACCTCGGCAAGACCCATCTGCAGCGAGAAGTCCACGAGCATGTGCCGTACAGCCGCCTCTGCGTTTTCCTAGCGTTGGCGAGAGTGGAAGGTTTGCGGCGAGGGGGAAAAGGGGACGAAATGGTGACGAAAGTCTGCCTCTGGGGCTGAGAAGGTGCCTCGTGTATAAGTTGCAATTTAAGTCGTGTTGCTGAACATGATGCTTTGCCGGTGGTGGTGGCTACCATGGCGTCGACACCAGTCAGTGCTGCTGTACGTGTCCCGCGGTACCTCTGCTGTTGTAGTAGTTTACGCTGCTAGAACCTTTCAAGCGAGGCCTAACGAACGAGCATGTCCTACACCTACTATATGGAACAGCAGCAGCACCAGAAGCGGCGAGGAATGCAGTATTGATAGAAGCATGAGCAGGAGCACGCGCACCTGTATGTGGCCCATGTATGCGGAGACGACGTCGATGCCGTACTCGGAAACCAGTCCTTGAAGGAGGGCCACGCCGCGGGTGTTCGCTGCCACCTGCGTTTGATTTCGTTCCATTTCGCGCGGCATGACATGCGGAAACAATACAACGAAAGATTTGGGCATGACACGCACACGCTCGTCGTAGTGGTTGCATGTGGAAATCGTGCGCGCAGAAGAAAACCGTGCTCGAAGCCAGATGATTAAAAAGATAAGACTGAGAGCTGTTTTCCGTATTGACGTATGCATACAACGTGCTACAGAGCAACAGCTACTATACGGTAGAACGACGACGACGACGACGACGACAACTACTGCTGCAATAACAACAACACCGACGACAACAGCGCGTTTCTTCTGCCACCCTGTTCCTCCACGTTTTGGGATACGGGCGGGCGCACTACATACCTCCGGAAACAAGAAAACAACCCCCCCCCCCCCCCCCCCCCCCCCCCCCCCCCCCCCCCCCCCCCCCCCCCCNGCGAACCGATAGAAGCACCCCATCGGCATCTTTCATGTACATAACATAGCCTCTTCCATCCTAATTGCTTCTTATATTTTCTATTATATTCGATCCGATTCGATTTGCACACCTGCGCCCTGAGATCGCTGAGGTTGTCCTGCAGGTTTCTCGTGCCGCTGCAGGCAGGGTCCCCCCGCTCCCCGGGCGCGTGCAGCAGATCCGACACGCCTTTCTCGTCGAACACCCCCATCGTCACCAGCTTAAAGGCCACGATCGCCGCGCCTTCCTGTTGAAATATTGATGGGGATTGTTTTTCACGTCAAACGGCGAGTATATGTGTTTTTTAGCCACCCGTCTCTGTGATGTATGACCGTCCGTGGCGGATTCTTAACCCGGAGCCCAAGCGGGAACCCTTCGGGGACACAGCACTCAAATGCCTATTCACCGCACCGTGGTCGTCACTATTATCCGCTGCATAAAACGCGAGTGGGAAAGCTTGGTCTAGCACGGTGGTGTGATGCGGTACGCTGTTTGATATTCTGCTGTGTGATGCATCTCCTCGGCCTCTGACTTCTCTTGCTGTACACACATCTCCCCAGTCCTGGTTCCCTTGTTGATAAAACTGCACATCATAGCCTAGTACTGGAAACAAATGCTGACTCGGCTTCAGCACAGAACATGTCTCCAGTGCATTTGAGGACACTTCCCATACTCAAGACATCTCTCCGGCCGAGACATCACGAAAAATTACTTCTTGCCAGTGATATGGATCAGGCACCGGAATCAGAAAGTATTAAACTAGGAAACCGTCAAAATATAGTTCAATGCGTGCCGAGGATAACCCGTCCAGGGGTCATGGGCCAAACACCAAAATTGAGCCCACAGTAGTGCCTCTGACCGCAGTGCCCCCTTCCCACCATTGTGAAACATAGCCTGGGCCAGCGACAACCCGGAAGGCATACATATCGCTTCGTCCCGGCATTGTAGGGATGCGAGGTCAACGGTCCAACGACTACGGCATGCGTTTACGTGAGTACACCCCCTGCCTCCCCGTATCACGCAGATAGTGTACCTCTTCCAGGGTCTTGGAGAGCGGCGGCATGGACCCCGGGGCAATGCCGCCGACGTCGGCGTGGTGGCCCCTGGATGCAACGAAGAACGCCGGCCCCGTGCCATCTGCCTGGCCTTCCATGAAGACCGGTGTGATGACCGTCATGTCCGGCAGGTGGCTGAGGAAAGCGGTAGGTGCAATGGAGGAGAGAGAGACAAGGAGAAGGAATTAGGGGCGGAGGTAAAAGACGCCCCGAGGCGAGGATGAGGTCTTAGTTTCTGTCACTGTTACTGCTGCCCCGTGTGTGTTGTGGTAGTGTCTACCACTAAATTGTTGCCTTTCGTCCCGAACATGATCCACCGATATGTTTGGTAGCGTGGTGGGGGGGTGGGGGGAGGGGGGGCGTCGCACGAAGGTTAATGACCCCGTCCTTCGACCTAATCCTGAGATGAAGAAAAGCCCTATGTACTCACTCTCCTTGCAAACAACCAGACCAAAACAAACCCGCAAAAAAGAAGGCTATCTAGTTACGCGTGTACGGCACAGGCACAAGAAACGCACCTCCTTAACACGGCAGTCAATAAAGCACTTCTGCCCCACTGTCCCACCGCTACAGCAGGCAGGGACCGCAGGAGTGGGTCCAGCCCCCCCCTCCTACGTGACCCCGGTTGGGTCGTCTAGCTGGTAGAGGTGGAGGATAGGGGCCAGAGGGGCAGACGACAGAGTCCAATGATGGGAGGGAAAAAAAAAAAGTACCTTTATCCTTCGCCCTTACCTCCCCCCGGCGAGCTGCGGGTGGTTGGAGAGGAGCACATCGCCCGCCTTGAGGTTTGACCCCCAGTGCCGCACTTGGTACCTTGGCAATTGGTGGCGGTTGTTTGTTTTTTTCGTTGCGTGTTGGTCGTGTGCACCGGCGGCGGGTTGTAAGAAGGAGGAAATTGTGAAAAAGCCGCGGCGCGTTGTGGGTTTAAAACATGTTCGACACACGAGAACAAAAAAGGCTTCCTCCCACATGATGGGTGGGTTGGTGTGGTATCGTGCAGGCACAGAAAGTTTGCTTTCCTGGTGTAAAGCGAAATCACTGCTACCATCTCTAGTCTCCCTCCGTCAAGAATGCAGGTGTGTCTTGGCTAGAGCGCGTGTGCTGTACTACCGTAGATAGCTTCGAATCTTGTACCCTCGGATCTACCACTCTCACTCTTCCATCTTGGGGCTGAGCAACGCACGCCGCTTGTTCCGACGGCTTCGTGGCAAGACAAAACGGGGCCGCACAGAGCAACCAATCTATCTAGCCTATCTAGCAGACAACACACAACAGCATGAACCTTACCGGCCGTTCTTAGACTACTATCCTCTTTCCCGCTCTTCGTCTTCGCAATACACAGACGTTAGGTTGCCCCTTCCCCCGTACTGACGACACGCGAAGAAATACTACCCGCCCAACACGCACGTGCACACACACCTGACCGCCTCCTGCATGGCGCCGAGGTGCACGGGGAGATGAGGAGCGTTCGCAACGAGGCCGCCCGTCGAGTCGAACACGGCGCACGAGAAGTCCAGCCGCTCCTTGATGTTCACGCTGATCGAGGTGCGCTGCGTGTGTAGCGGTGCAGCGCCAAAGCAAGCAGCGTGTGCGGTGACAATGCGGGATGATACATAAGTTCTGGGGTCCCCACGCGGTGGTTCTGTGGACGAGAAACGCGGGTGCTTCTTTTTTATCCTTTCGACTGTCGAGAACGGTGTTGAAAGCCGGATCAAGATCAGCAACAACCCCTTTCCTCGACAGCGACAACGACAACAACAGCGCTAGTGAAAGTGAAAAGGGCAATGACACCACCAAGTTACTGTCCTACTCAAGCCCTGGAAGGTCCACACCATCGACATAAGTGCTTCCTCACAGGCACCGAAAAGCAGCACATCTAGGGGACCAACATCACACACAGGAAGCTCTCTTGCCCCTCTACCCGGCCATCCATCCATAGCCCAAGCAAACAGGCACGTCCGATGCATCTATATCTACCCCGTGCCGCACCTGCAGCGTGCGTCCCATCTGCTCAGCGATGCCCATGAATCGGTGCGCGAAGATCGACAGGTACACGGGGTCGAGCTCCCGCTTCACGCGCTTTCGCCCGCCGCCGCCGTCGCCGCCGCCGCTGCCATCGTCCCCCTCGGCGGCGACGTCTCCGACGTCGATGGCAACGTCCCCGAACGGCGAAACGGTAGCGGTGCAGCCGGGCTCGACCACTACAGTAGACACGTCTTGGATCAGGATCGCGGGGCCTTGTTTCACGGCGGCGTCGCGCCAAAAACGTTGCCAAGAATGCCAGGCGGGCGGGGGGCGGGCGGGCACGAGGGTGTTTGGTGAGTTGGCGACGGGGAAGGGGAGGCGGTTGCGCAGTATGTCTGCGCGTCCGTGTGTGTGGCAATCTGCCCTCACACCTACCTCCCCCTTTCTCCGATTCCGGCTCTCTCCCTTTCTCTCTCTCCCCCTCTCACCCACATTCACAAACACGCCTCCCTGTGCTTTCCGCCCGTCATTCTCCTCACTCCTGCGTACCCCATTGATGCCGATAGCCGATAGTTTCCTCCCCTCCCCCTCCACTTCTATCCCCCCCCCCCCCCCCCCCCC